AAATTAAAACTTTTTAACTAAACTTGAAACATTTTTTCAATATTCAGGATCTCGAATGGCCTGAAGCCCAGCCTATACAACTACTTAACGAAAACGGAGTTGTGAGTGTTGTAGAATGCTATACCGAACTTGATGCTTCATTTATCAACTCAAATATAATATACAGACTAAACAATACTGCTGAAGTTCGTGACCGCTCCTGCGTCGTGCGTCTCCCAACGCATATGATTTTGACAATTATGGATATAAAAACTCATGATGATAATGTAATTTTTTTGGGGGTTAAATGAATTAATTTATAAAATTTTTAGAGTTATGTAACAGTAATGGCAGGTTCATCAAAGATTATTATGCCTCTATCCATCAACCATATACGCTCTGGTGAATTTTTATTTGATAATTGTTTAAATATTGCTTTTAAGATTTAAAAACATTTATAAAGACATTGAAGCATGTCTTGAAAAATTTTAAACTTGCTACTTAAAGCCCTAAAGTATACTTTAGAAAATTGAAGCATGCCTTAGTCATTTGAAGCATGCTTCAGAATTTATGAAGCTTGCTTCATAGTACCTGAAACATGTTTCAGAACACGAGTGATTGTTTCAAAATTTAAAAATGTGAAGCTTTCGAGTTCTTAAAAAATATGGAAACCTTTTCTAATATTTTGTAACATTCACCAGAAAATGAGAAACTATCTAAAATTTAATATTTAATTTATTTATTTAAGCAGAAAAGCAAAGATTTGGACCCTACCACATACCCTGCGAAAAATCCTATTTAATCTTCAACACAAACCAGCTCTCGTTAGAGTGGGTTGAATTTAAATTGGAGCCAGAACAACCCGAAGACATGGAAGATAATGAAGAAAAAATTTGTTCAGATCAAGGGCTTAATCTAGTGGAGATTGAATATAATAATGAGAATAGGGATGCAAGCAATGAATCGGGTTCAATAGATTCAAAGAGAAGATGAAGGAAATTGTTTTGAATGTCGGAAATTTTATTTTTAAAACTTTTTTCTCCATATTAGTTTGTAATTTTATATTAGAATCTGTACTATCCTCCTCTTGAGTATCTAATTTAGGGGAAGGCTTCTTTCAAGGAGAAGACTTCTAGCCTTTTACTAAGTTTTTTGTAGAGAGCGAGATTTTCAACAAAACCTTTACCTTGATCCTTGACCATTTCAATTGGGTACCTTGACCAGATTCATGACCTATAGTCAAGGAAAAATCAAGGTCAAAAAAATCAAGGAACTTTGAAAAATGCCTTGATCTGGACTCTGGATCCAGGAAAAATCAGGGTTTGGATCCAGATACAGCTCGTTCTCTCAGTTCCAGCTCGTTCTCTCAGATCCAGCTTGCTCTCTCGCTCTCTACCTTAATGTTTTTGATTTTAACATTAAGGTCTAGCTTTCTTCGGATATCTGGAACAGAACCAAATAAACCGGAATATCCTCAATTTTAAGTTTCGATTCATTTCAGAACCGACAAAACTTTATTAAGGATGATTTCATAAACAAAGTCTTTAGGTATGGGATAAGACAAAGATTCTGATATAACTAAATTAATTTTTATTCTATTTTGATGGATTATAATATTTAGAGAAATCTCATTTCTTCAACGACTAATGATCTTACAATATTTTTGTTTAAGTATTTGATATTGCCAGTAATAAAAATGTTAAATTTAAAAATTTCTTAAATTTTCTAAAATTCTGAAAAGTTTCGAGAGTTTTTTGAGGAGTTTTATTTCGAGGAGTTTAGAAAAGTCACTAATACAAAATTTTATGATTAAAATAATCAGTTCAAAAAAACTCACGCCTTAACATTAGAAATCCCCCCCTAGCGCGAGTTAGAGGGGGCCATTCAAATTTTATTAGAAGGGGCATTCAAATGGAGAGGGCTGTTCTATTAGAGATAATACAGTAATTGAAATTTTTTAATAAATTGTTTTTATTTAATTTTGGGTCATTCATTAATTTAATTTTCTTAACTGCGAATATTTGAAAAAATAAAATTAATAATTAATTAAATTTTTGAGTTAAACTCTGACTCATTAACAAACATTAACCGAAAATTTTTTAAAAACAAAATTTAATCAAATAATTAAGTTTAGTTCAAAGTTTGCTTCAAAACTTTCAAGTAAACTTTGTTTACCCTTAAATTAAATTTTCTTAATTTTATTTAAAGTATAAGCATATAACAGGTCAAATTTTAATTAAATTTAAATGAATTTAATTAAATATGAAATCATTTAAAATTTATTTTTTTATTTTTTTTAATGGAATTGGTCTATATGCAACTTCAGATTTGCTCGAAAAATTTATAGAGCTGTTTGGTATCGGTTCTGATTTTAATTAATAAGTTTAACTTACCGTATTTTTCCCAATAGAAGCGCATGCGTTCTATTTTTCAACCTCCTCGTAGACTGCGCTTCTATTGGGAAAAATACGGTAAATTAAACTATGGAATTTATGGAAGAAAATGATAAACGGAAGTAATGTGGGAATTTTAGTATATGTCTAGAATTTTGTCTTTTTTTTAAATTTTTTACAGCAATTTTATAAAATTTTCAATTTAGACTTCTCACCTTTGCCTGATACAATTTTATAAAATTTTCATTAAGTCTGTTGTGTAGTGGTGTACGGATAGTATAAAAGCTCGTGAAAGCGTTTCCATTCCCTTCGCCTACACATTGTTTATTTCTACATCAGATAAACTGTTATTATTGTGTTCGTCGACATCATTTAAATCTCGGACAACCTCGGGTCGTAACAAAGTCGAGACAGCCAATAAATTCAAGCCGACTTCAGCTTAAAAATTACTCTACTCCTTAGTCTTAATCTAAAATATAAAGTTTTAAAATACAATTCTAACCCAAAATTTACTATTTTTTATTTTTTCAGTCCCTTTTCAAACTGCTTCTACTTTACAAGAATTATTTATATTATTTTTTGCCAAGAAAATAAAAAAGGAAAAGGATGCCGTCAATTGCACAAAAACTAACACAAAACAATGGAGATATACACATATTTGTTTTTTTTACTTTTTATGCTTTTCATTGCTTTCTTGTATTTTCTTTAGCCTAAGGTTCTGTTTATTGACTTTTTCTCATTTATTTTTATTTTTAAAGTGTCTTTATTATTTAAAAAAAATTATTTTTTGTTGCCGATAAGATTTACAAGTTTTATTCCAAATTTATTAAGAGATTGGGGTTGACTTTAAAAAAATTTTTGTAGGATTTTGAGGTATCTGTTTTGTCTAGGAAGGCTAGGAAGGTTTTAGTATGTTTCAAAATCCAACTAGGCCTGAAAAACGTGAGGAAATCCATATTATCCATTTCCCTATTTAGTAGATCCCTGTAAATAAAAATTAAAAATATCTTGTTGAGAATTAATGAATTTTGAAAATTACAAAAAAATAAATTTTAAAAATTTTAATGAATATTTTTTTATTTTTCAACCTAGAAAATTTTTTAAAATTAAATTAGTTATCCAAAGAAATTCCTTTAATTTCTTTATCACTTCAATAATTTAATATAAAAAATAATTTTTAACATCGCTCAACAAGAATAACTCATTAAGCAACTTTGCCTCTCTTCTCTCATACAGTATACCCATAAGGAGAGATTTAATTGAACTTTTCTAATTAAAGCTGCTTGTTAATTTAACTAGATCAGGTATAGCAATTTTTATTAAGTCAAAAAATTTTTTCAATAAATTTTGAATATGGGTCAATTTACACAAAAAATATTAAATACTTCAACAAAAAATTTAAAAAATTTTATTTATTAAAATTATATTAATTTAGTAGCATTTATCCAAAAAATTATTAAAATTAAAAGCATTAAAATTTTTATAAAAAAATAATTTTTGCTTTTTTTACTAAAAAATTTTTCCTTACTTGTACACTTTAAAATTGAAAAGCTTTTAAATTTCCTTTCTTGTACCTATTAAATTTCCTTTTAAAAAAGTCCTCTTTTAAGGAATAAATTGGGAAAATAAAGTGTTAGTTAACCAGGAAAATTATTGTTATTTAAAGCTTCAATAAAAAAATTTTTTGTGAAAACCGATTATAGAATTGAATATTTTTAATTGTTTAAAGATTTGGTATGGTAAAGATTTTTAGCTAAACCTTCCCACAACGATATTCATATACCTACATAATTTAACTAACAACCTCCTCCTCCAACCCTAATAAGGTTGTCGGATCCGGATCCGAAAAAAGAACTATTGAACTATCCGACAAGAACTATCGAACTATTCGAACTATCCGACAACCTTGTTCCCTAACTTCTAGATACTTACTCTCATCCAACCCCTCCTTCTAATCCACAAAATCCTAAAATTAACCTAAATTTTGTGTAAGACAAAGGATATCCAAATTAAAAAATTAAAAAATATGTGTGGCACCCTCAATAAAATAATTTTCTTACTTAACTCAAGTCATTTTTACTTCTCTTTTACACTTTTAGCCTTATCCTACATTTATCCTTTCTCAGAATAAATTTTTTGACATCTTCAACTTGATATAAATATACATAAACTTACTTGTCATCTTCGCCTTATTTCTTTCCCCATGGTCCACACCCTCCCATTTTTAATTTGGCCGTTGAAGGACTTGTTATATTGAGAGAATGCCGTTGAAAAATTGAAAGGAGGAGAATGCCCTCTTTTACATTTTATTTATATCGTCTTAGGCCAAAACAAGATTATTTGGTTATTTTTTTAGGGAAATGTGCGTGTCCCCTTATCCTCCTTCCTCTCTCTTTACCCTCCTCCCTCATCTCCCTCTTCTTCATATCCTTGCTAATGCTTTTCCCCTCTCATTTAAGCAGCCGACAAGAGCTCATCATCATTGTAAATGAAGAAATAATGCTTGTCTTTTTTTACTTTTTTTGTTTAAATTCCCGACTCAGTCTTATTTTATTTATTGAAAGGCCGGCTAAGTTTTCTTAATGGATAGTGCTAAGTATGGGTCTAGCTCTGGAGCCTCCCTTTCCCTCATTTTCGGAGCCTAACTCGTCCCTCATTTATGGAATCCTCATTTCTAGGACCGGCTCCAGCAGAAGCCACAAAACGGACAATACCCAGAACTGTTCCCAGTCTAGTTGATGAAGCAAACGTGTAAACTATTATTGGTGTGCCACTGCTTTTACTCTTCCTTGGCTCCTGCCTTGGAAGGAATGCCACCAGCTCCTGCCTCCTACCTTTGTGGCTCATACAAGCCACAAAACGCCCAATACCCAGAACTGTTCCAAATCTAGTTGATAATGCAGACTTGTGAACTATTTTCGGGATGGCACTTCTTTTCCCTTCTTTGCCTAATAAATCCGATACTAATAAACTTAAAAATATTTTTATTAAAACTTATTATTGAGAACTTCTCAAATAACTTTCAATTTCTTCCATAAAACCCCATAAAATTATTTACTTTAAAACTATTAAAATATGTATCCGCCTCCCAGCTGGAAGCCTCCGGGTGCGAAATCTGCCAAAAAGACAGGTGTTTATTGCCCAAGTTTACTTTTGATTAAGTCACAAGGATTTAAATTATCCTAAAATTAATTTTAAATTTTAATTAATTCTTAAAATTAATTAAATTTTAGGAAGCGGACATTCTGCAGCAGTAATGGCTACTACACGCGCAGCAACTTGTAAGCTTCCTAATTTATTTTTTTCCGAATTTAAAAATAAATTTATTAATAAAAAATAAATTTCCTCGAAAAACTTTTCCCCTATTTTCCCTTTAGATTCTATTTTTGAGTATTTTCTACATATTTCTTAAATAAATTTAGAAAATAACAAAAGACAAAATTTGGGCTATTGTTTGTTTAGCTATTTAAGAAGTAAGCCTTTTTGGCATTTTTAGGTCTGGGCCCCAAATTTTTATTTTGTGTATTTTTTTGAAAATTGATATGCCAATCCTTTAAAAAATAAAGAAAAAATTTTAAGTAAGCCTGACAGTTTATTTAATAATTTACTAAGTCATTCCAATCTTTATCTACTCGCTTTATATTAATTATATGTAGTCTAACACAAAATTATAAAATTAAGAACAAACTTGAAAAATTAAGAACAACCTTATTATTAGATAATAAACTTGATTAAGATCAAACTAGAAAATTAAAAAGTTTAAACTTGAAAATAAATAAACTTGAATTTTAATATTAATATAAACTTGAAATAAATAATAGTGGAATAAACTTAAGTTTAAACTTGAAAATCTAAAAAATAAACTTAAGCCTATGTAAATAATGAACAATAAACTTGAAGTATATAAACTTAATTGAAATAATGTGTAATAAACTTAATTAAGTTTAAACTAGAATAAAATAAAAAATAAACTTAAGTTTAAACTTGAAAATAAATCTTACTCTAAACTTGACTTAAAAATAAGCTAGCCTAAAAATTTAAGTAAATTATATATATTTTTCTAGCCCAAAATTTTTTTCTTATTTGCTTTCTTATTTTTAAATTATTCCATTATTTCCATTTGTTGAATTGAAAGAATTTTTTACGAGTGTGAGAGCCTTGCAAATCGTTAGCTGCCGTTTGCGCCTTTTTGCTTAAATATGCGAGAAAAGTAAAAAATAAAAAAGGGGCACATCTGCAAACTTTAAAAATGACGGCGAATGCACTTCCTAAATATTCATTCAAAAAATGCATGACGAGCTATGGAATATTTTTGTTATTTTTTCTAAAAGTATTTTTAGTAAGGCACCAAGAAGAGCTAAATTTTAATTTTGAAATTTTTTAAAATTTATTAAAATTTATTAGGGTTTATAACAAGTTTAAGTAATTTAAGCATAAACCTGATATTATTATAACCATGATAATATCAGTTATTATAACCATCAAGATTACTCTTGAATAAAAATAAATTTATGTTAAGTTTGAACTTAAAAATAAAACTTCAAGGATAAACTTAAGTTCAAACTTAATAATAAACGACAATGTAAGATTAATCTTGAATAAAAACAAACTTACTAAGTTCGAACTTAAAAATGAACTTCATTTAAGTGTATAAACTTAAACTTTTAAGCATATAAACTTAAATTTTGTTAGCTATAATTTAGCTAAATTTTTCAACACTTTTTCTTTTTTTCGTCCTCACCTATAAATTATACTTTTGAGTTTATCTATGCTTCACTTAATAATATTAAGCATTTTCTCGTATAAACGAAAAATAGATGAGCAGCAAGTTTATTTATTCATTTATTTTATGTCATATACACACATCTATTTTGACTCTGCTTATTTAAGCGGAAATCCCCAAGGCTATAATTTTCATAATTTTTAAAGCAAAAATAGCTTAGTGACTCATTTATTTTTTAACGTGGAGAGATTTCTTATTTTTTCAACTAAAAATATAAAAATTTAAAAAATTAAGAATTTTATTTTTTTTTATTTTCTTCCATTAAATTTAACCAAAAAACAATAGGCACAAATGCCAATGGCTTATCTTCTTAAATATTATACCTGTTAGTCTTTAAATCAATTAAAAATTAAAAAAAAATTAGCTTAATAAACAGTTGAAAGGGAAATGGATATAGAAGTTTATAATCTTAAAAACTTGGAATAAACTTGAAACTAAAGTTAATCTTAAGCAAAAATAAACTTGAAGTTAAGTTCGAACTTAAACAAAAATAAACTTGGAAAACTAAGTTCGATCTTAAACAAAAATAAACTTGAAATAAAGGAAACTTGAATTATTAAGAATGAACTTAAGTGTGATAATTAAAACCTAGCTTAGACTTAAAAATTTATAAAATTGAAAACTTAAGTGTATATACTATAAATAAACTTAAAAATTGAAAAATAATAAACTTAAAAAATTAAGTTTAAACTTGAAAACTTAAGCGTATACTATAAATAAACTTAAAACATGAAAAAAATAATAAACTTTAAAGTTTAAGTTTGAACTTGAATAAAATTAAGTTTCATTCAACCATTTTTTATTCAAGTTTCTGCCAAGATTCGAACTCTCAGCGATTTCCACAGCCGTATCCTTAATCAGCAACAAGTCCCTAGTAGTGCGGAGATGGTAACTACATTGAGATATTTTCAGCAAACTTTAGTCAGGTTTTTAATAATATTTTTAAAATATTCCTGAGTTTTCTTCAGTTTTTTAAAAGATATACCCTCCGAACGGAGCTCACTCTTCGAAAAATATTCAAGTGAAAATGCCATTGTTCGGAGCGGATTATATCCTAACCTTAATTATTCTGGTCTATTTTATGGTATTGTTAATTTACTCGATGCTTTCCCAATGATTAGTAGTGCACAGACTGGTAGGGATTTTTATGTTAATTTATAAACCTTGAAATATTTTTAAGCTATCGCTGAGGCAATACTTGATACACTTAAAGCACTCTACTTCTTTTTGGATAGAGAATGTATTGGTAAATTTTTTTAGAATATATAAGTCATTTTAATCGTAGAATTGATATCCATGTGTAGGGTGAAGTGAGAATTTAGCTTCTAAAAGTAAGGTGTTATGTAAGGATAAGTGAGTATTCCAACGTCGAATCACAATCCATGAATGGATCAAGGGAGCATTCATAGGTAGGGTGAAGGGAACAATTATCATTAGGATGGGGGAACATTCTTTCTAGGTTCAGGTTTATATTCATAATCATTGTCAATAGAACATTCAAATCTAACAATAAAAAGCTATCAGAAGTAGGGTTCAGCGGTATCGGGATCCCGACCGGTATCGGGCGGTATTATACCGGTCTCTTTGAATACCGATACCGATTTTACTGATACCGCTACCGAATGATAAATCCCGATACCGTTTTTGCTGATACCGATACCGAGGCCGGTATCGGTATCGGGATTAGCGTCGGATACCGATGAATATCGGTATTTTTTAACACCCCTAAGGATCGATTTTTCATTTGTTTTATGAACGAAATTAGCTGCATGGCCTTCTTAAATTCTCAAAATTTTTGCCTGCGGCGCTGAAAATTGAAGAAATCTGGCTTCTTAGTCTATGAAAATTTTCAAAATTTTTGCCTGCGGCGCTTAAAAAGTGAATTTTTTTACTTACGGCCTTCTAAAATTCTCAAAAATTTCGCCTGCGGCGCTAATAAAGGACCAACTCTGGCCTATTGACTTTACAAAAATCTTAAAAATTTTGCCTGCAGCGCTGAAATGGGAAAAAGTTAGGCCTTTTGGCTTTAAAATTTTAGAAATTTTCGATTTTGGCGCCTTCGGTGAATTAAATTTTGGCTTAAAAGTAACATAATGTTCATTAATGAAACACAGGTGTTTTGTTAATGAACGGAGCCTAATAAAAAAAAGTTTTATCCAGGTCTGGTCCCCATATTGAGGGATATCTTTCGATTATCAGGGGTATCCCTAGTACTCCCAAAAGTCTACTGATATCCCACCTAATCCCCAAAGTTGAGTTGAGGTATAAAGTTGAATTTGGGGTATACCCGTGGATGAAGATGATATCGGAGGATTAAAGTGGATAACGATGGATTTGGAAGGTCTTCTATTGGTTCCTGAGATGTTTTTGTCTCGAGAATGGCTTTATAGTGCTAATTTATCATTTTACTACAGATTAATACCTTTTTCAAAATGAGGAATAAATTTATTTATTAAAGAATTTATTTATTTTTTTCGGATTAAAATTTTTTAGGAAATACCGATACCGATTTTTCAATCCCGATCCCGAGTCGGTATCGGTACCGGTATCGGTATCATTAACTCAAATCCCGATACCGATTTAGGCTAATCCCGATCCCGAGTCGGTACCGGTATCGGGATCGGTATCATCAATCCGAAATACCGATACCGGTTTTTTCTCGGAATACCGGTACCGCTGAACCCTAATCAGAAGAAGGGTTAGGGAAATGTTCAGATGTATCGTAAAACTAGGTAAAAACTAGGAAGTTCGCAACTTTGAGGGTTCACAACTAGGAACCTTTAAATATTTTTTTCAGAACAACTTCCTTTACTACTTGCTTCACAACTTGGCGTTTTTCCTTCAGAAGTTGACCGTCGACTTGTACATTTATTATGCGATTGTATTTTCCCCTACTCTTTTGGGGAAGGAGTTAATGGACGTGTTTCAGTCCCTGCAGTGCTTATTCTCGTTCTTCACCATTCTGCTGATAATTGTGAATTTTAACTGCGCTAAGAATAAATTTTTTTCCAAAATCTTAAGCATTACACACCTTAATCATTGAACGGCTGGCTTATCGTCTGCCTGATTTATACTCAGATTTGTTAACGGTAATCGCTTCTGGTACGAGTGAATCACGCATTGCAGCAGTTAACTTGCTTTTCCATTATTGGCCGTTATTATATCCAGGAATTATGCTCAGACGGACAGTTCAATATCGAGTACAGGCTTGGTCATCTCCACAATGTCAGAATACACAGTGCGTGGAGAAGGGTCCAAGGCATGCAGTTTAATTATTAACTAGTTTGATAATATGTAACCATAAATGCTCACGGAAACGGATATATCTGAGGCTACGGACGGATACCATATGAGGATACCATATCCGCGAGATATCCGTCAAGGCGAACGAGGCGGCCGGCGTTCCCTCAACCTGACATTTTTGACGATTTTGTCGAGGAACCTACCTATAGTCATTCTTCTCCCTCTCTATAGGAATGACACTCAGGTTCTAACATAACTCTTATTTTTGCAGCACTTGTCTCACTTACGAACCTTCAATCTGCGCAAATTTAGGAGACTCTGCCCCTCCAATGTTCATTTGCCATAATTGCCAGGAATCCGTTACTTCATCAACTACAGAACCTTTGCATTATTTAAGTCAACCTCTCCCTGTAACAATAAGTACTACATGCCAAAATAAGGCAATTTTAATACTCCAAGTTCTGATAGAAAATCAAGTTTTAGGGGTGTAATTCTTCAAATCGAATAGCTAAGGGTACCTGCTTTGATGAGGATTGTATTCGGTCGAATGGGCATGTGCCTCTGAGACTGTGTGAAGTAATACTTCTGAAAGACAAATTTAAAAATTTTTTCCTTGCTTTATCAAAGGAATGCTTCAATGCTCTTCACCCAGTAGAAAACATACGGGCATACGAGCACAACCGGCATAGTGGGCATGGTTCTGTCTGGGGCTCTCCCTATGAGAGAGTGATGGTTGAAGCTGTAAACCTTTCAAAATCACTTAAGAATGTAACTTGGAAAATTTAAGATTGTAAAGCTGTTAAGAGAGACCTCTTCAAAGCTTACCGAACTTTCTGCGGATGGTGAATCGGCAAAAAGACCAAAATGGCTAAGACAATTGGAGGGTGGGAGAGAACTTGGGCGTGAAATTGATCCATTAAGTGATGAAAGGAGAATGCTGAGTAGATTTGGAATTTGGTTAATGGTGGCACATTGTCCTCCTGTGCCTGAAGCAACACCGGTTATTTAATTTATTTTGAGGAAGATTTATTCGGTGGATGAAGGGATTCAACTATTAGTTCATTTAATTCCACTGAGAAATTGAGAGGGGCTGCACAACAGAACTTATGTTCCTATCGGATCCTGAGTTATCCTGAGAGATCCTTATCCTTACTAATCCAAAGGAGCTCAAATTTCGAGAGCTCCTTCTATTATCACTACTTTCCTAACAATCATTTGACCCTCACTAGCATCATGCTTTCATGACACTGATAGACCCCAATGCTCCCATCTAATCCAGAATTAAGAGTTGCTCCCTCACAATATCCCTATAGCCCTATGCTCGTATCAATCATATTAACCATCCATAGCATCTTCAAACCCCAGCCACCAGAAATCTTTTTAATTTTCAAATATTCCAGAGCTCTGTTGGATATCTTCTTGGTGCTCTATTCCAATGGTTCTCTACTACGGCATTACTGCCCAATGATGCTATGGGGCAAACGCTAGAACAACTCAAAGCTGACGTAGGCAAACGACTCAATAATTACTTAAAATCCGTTTTTTCCAGTTTGGGTGTGACTGGCTCAACCAAGCATTATCTAACCACTACGAAGTTTTTATTAACGAACTTCTCCCACAACAACTAGAACCACTCTATGGAAATATAGAAGATACAATTTGGGATGAGCGTTTTGTTCGTAAAGAGATTATGCGCGATGGATTGAGTAAACTACTTGCATTGGCTCCATATGACATTATATCCATAACAACGTGGTCTAGAGTTATGCCACATTGGCTACACTCTTTAAATAATGATTTGGTTAGCGAGGAGGATTTGCTGGAGTTGAAGGTGCCTATCAGTAAATTGTTTGAACCTGATCTTTGTGCCCTGTCTTTTGAGGTATCTTAGCTTTTATGTTTAAAAATGATTTGGCTTGAGTATCTTCTCCAATCCAGCTGAACGGTCGTCTCCAATAGAGCGGCCCTTTGAGAGGGGATTAAAAAATAGAGCGGCCGGCCGCTCAATTAGAGAAAATACGGTAATTTTATAACACTTGTTTTTCCTTTATCTGTAGTCAAGAGCAAACTCTAACCCATAAGTTAGCTCCCACATTCTCAAGAAGGGGTGGGAAAGGGTTTGGGAGCGGAAGTGCCATTTACCAAGGTGCGCACGATGTATTGAACTAAACTTCCATCATCACGGGACATTAAAATATATAATTTTCAGCCTCAACGTCTTTACGAATTTTTGGCAATCCGGCTACAGTCAAATTCCTACGAAGAAATACTCAAAGCACTCGATTGGCTACATGTAGGTTTTTAATTTATTTTACACCCCTCTATTTGGAGGCCACTCTAATAGAATGACTCTATGAAGAGTTATTGAAAAATAAATAAATGATCGGTTACTCAATGGGAGAAAATATGGAACTTAATAATCTATATTCTTTAATTTTTCTATGTTACGTTAATGGGGTTTATAGTAGAGAGTGAGCTGATTCTGGATCAAGACCTCGATCTTTCCTGTATCAAGAGTCCAGATCAAGGCATTTTTCAGAGCCCTTGATTTTTTTTGACTCAAGGTCAAGAATCTGGTCAAGGTACACAACTGAAATCATGGTCAAGGATCAAGGCTTTTTGAAATTCTCGCTTTCTAGTTTACAGTAGTAAAAGTATAATTTATTTCATTCGACAAAATATATTTACAATTAACATATCTTTCTTAAATTTATATTATCATTTTCTTTCTTTTATCACGCTATCATTCATAATTTCAATTAATCACTTTAACTGCAGAAGCTGGGTAGTTACAGGAACTGCCAGTTCCCGCCTGTCCAGGTTTATAAGCATATTTCCAAGGATCTGCAACATTTTCCCCATAGTACTCTGAACAGACAAATGTAGTTGCAGTTGCAGGGTTGTTGTTTCCATAGACTGTTATATTTCGAAGAGTTACTTTGTCTTGATATTGTTGGTTAGCAGCTAAAAATTAATTAACTGAGTAACACCCTAAAGCCCTACATATAATAGTTAGTGTAGGCCCTTTGAATCTAGAGTCCTCAATCGTCATATCTCGTTGATACTGCTTTCCGCAATTTCCACATGACGCAATACCTATTGCACAATTTACTGCGCAAAAGTTCTTTATTATAGTCTTTCCAGGTCCGCTCTGATCGAAAATTTTTTGAAAGCCGTCTAGAGCGCCTCCTCCATCTACGATCTAAAAATTTGGAGATTTTTTAGCAATTTTAAAAAGTTAGATACATATGTATATTGTGTTGAATCCCCTTCCTGGTTTGTACGTCTTCGATTGTATTCTGCTGTCGCACGGAAGCTAGCAGCTCGCCAACAGACATTTTCCCACCTAAAATGATTAATAAAGGATATATTTTTGAAACTCGATTGGATCCCTATAGCTAGAACTGGAGTCTGCTTAATAGGTGAGCAACAGACTACTATATATTTAGGAGCATCTTTATTTTTAGTACTGAGATTGTGATTTCTTTGTACGATAATCTGCATAAGGTATGTTATCCTTCCTTCTAATCATCTAAGACCTACCAAACATTTTTGAGAGTACAACTCCCCATACAATTAATATCAGCAGCAGTGCCATCCAAAGAAACACCAAGTATCACATTCCTCACAGTTCCACCATCCGCAACAGTAATGACAGAACCCCATTGTTTCGGAATTTTTGAGTTGCAAGTCCCTGGATTTCCATTCAATCGAATTCTTTGCATTCCAAAATCAACATCCTCGCCGCCTTTAACATAAAAACCAGTATTTGTAACATTATTACGTGAAGCCTTTGGAAAATTACAAAATCTAGCCCCTTCTCTATTTAGTTCTATAGACAATATAGATATAAAGGAAATAATTAAAATAAATATATTAAGCATTTTATTCCTCTTAGATTCCGAGGGTATTGAAATTTGCTTTTAAAATTTGGTGAAGAATCTAGAATTTCTAGCAGTTTTTATATGCTTAAGTATAAGAGATTTTAAATGATTTTCCACTTACGTATAAAACCATCTCGTGGTTTATTAAGTAAACAGTAATTGACGCAAACGGAAAAAATTTTTTAAATCTATCTATTTTGGTTTATTCTCTTAAATTTAATTTTTCAAGTTAAAAATTTTTATTTTACATCTGAATAAATATAAATTATAAATTTTTGGCTAATTTTGCCAAAATTTTTAAAAATTTATTTTCTAAAAAAATTATTTCCTTCAGTACAAAATTTTTTATTCACTTTTTTAATATAAGCTTCCGGAATTCAAGTCGATTTCTTTGCTTAATATTAATTTTAATATTTATTTCATGATAATTAATTACCGTATTTCCTCTATTAAAATGCCATGGCATTATAATTTTTTAATCACCTCGAAGATGGCATTCTATTAGAGGGTGGCATTCAAATAGAGTGTGGCATTGTATTTTTCGATGAGAAAATTTCAAAATTTGGATAATTTTTGGACCATTTCGATAAATAAAATCGTAAAATGGATAAAATTGGCCGAAATTTAAAAGTATAACTTACGAAGAATTCTTGTGAATATTATTAAGTATTCTTATGAATTTCGAATAATTTAAAAATTTAACTTATTTGATGATTAAGGAGTATTTGCAGAGACAAGGGATTATCGGGAATATCACAAGTAAAGAAGATATTTAGGGATTATGAGGGAGCTTTATAATTTAAGGGAGCTTTAGAATTATTTAAAGAAGTTCTACAAATTCGAGGGGCTAATGTAAACTTTGAGAGACGAAGTGAGTTCCTCCACATCTAATTATATCATTCCTCTACTGAATAAATTTTATCACCAAATTTTATCTTTTTATTAACGATATCCCTCTCTATTCCTTCTAATCTCTGATATTTCCATAATCACTCTTTCCCTCGATATTCTCTTTTAACTCTGAATTTAACTCTGAATCCACTTATATCCTCTCAATCCCTACGAATCGAACGCTATCACTCTGAGATTATCTTAATCTCTTCAATCCACGATATCTGTGATTTCTATCAAGCTCCAGTATCTCTGATATTATTTCGTAAAAATTTTTAAGGAAAATTTCTTAACTTCTATTTGACATCATTAAAATCACGTTAAGGGATGCTATTTTGACTCACTTTAGTTTACATAATAATCCAAACTGGTAAGAAATAAGAGAAAGTCGATAGAAACAGTTTCAGATTGATATATTATTATATTTTGAAAAATTTCAGCGTTAGTAAAGGGTGGCATTCTAATAGAGGGTGGCATTCAGGAATATAAGGAAATAAAACAGGAAATACAGTATGATGTTTCAGAAACATTGAAAATTTTTCAGAATTGTTATTGGAATAGGTACGCTTCATATTAGAACAAAAAAAATCTAAAAATTTTCAACAGAGTAAAAAAAGTCTGCTATTCGTTAAGGAACACAAGGCTAAACTTTAACCACACGGGGCTAAATGGGGCTAAACTTTAACCATTCTCCTACCACTTTTACGTAATATAAAGCAAAATTTAATATTTTTTTTGTTTTATCGTAATATTTTGTGAAAAATATAAATTAGATAAGGTATTTAATATTAATTTATTATCATCTACATATACAATATAAATTTAACATTAATTATTTAATCCTTAAATTTGCACTTTTATTTATAACTCTACGAATTTCTTCAGTTTTTTCAGCTCATTTTTCAATTGACCACTTTAAATGCGGAAGCTGGGTAATTACAAGAACTACCAGTTCCAGCCTTTCCAGCTATCCAAGCATATTGCCAAGGATTTGCAGCATTTTGCACTGCCTCTACACATGCAAAAGCCATTTTAGTTGCTGGATTGTTGTTGCCATAAACAGAAACGTTTCGAAGAGTTACTTTGTCATTGTATTGATGGTTAGGCCCTTAAAAGGTCGATTATGTGATTAGTCTTCTTTTAAAGTCCTACCCATAATAAGAAGTCCAGGTCCCATGAATTTAGAGTCAACAATCGTTAAATCTCGTTGATATTGCTTCCCGCAATCCCCACACGCTCGAAGAATTATCTGGCTATTTGCTGCGCAAAAGTTCTTTACTATAGTCTTTCCAGGTCCGCTCTGATCAAAAATTTTTTGAAAGCCGTCTAGAGCGCCTCCTCCATCTACAATCTAAAAATTTGAGATTTTTTCAAATAATTTAAAAAGTTAGATACATATGTATATTGTGTTGAATCTCCTGCCTGGTTTGTACGTCTTGAATTGAATGCCGCTGTAGCACGGAAGCTAGCAGCTCTCCAACAAGCATTTTCCCACCTTAAATTTATTGGTAAAAATACAGCCTAATTTTTGGGGAGCAGGAATTTGGAGCATCACCACTATCATCCCACCCTGGCAAATTCCTGGGTGGAGTGAAGATCCAACTTCAAAATCCACTTACCAAACATTTTTGAGAGTACAACTTCCCATGCAACTGATATCAGCAGAAGTACCGTCTGGCGCGACACCAAGTATTAAATTTGCAACAGTTCCCCCATCCTTAACAGTAAACAGAGAATTCCATTGTTTCGGAATTTTTGGATCGCAAGTTCCTGGCATGCCTGTCAATATAATTCTTTGCATTCCAAAATCATTATAGCCACTAATGACAGAACCAGTCTTTGTATAATTTGTACTTGAAGGCTTTGGGAAATTACAAAATTTGGCTCCATCCTGATTTATCGCCAGGGATGATATAAATGAAATAATTAAAATTAATATATTAAGCATTTTATTACTATTGATTTCTGAATTTTGAATTTTTTAACTTTGGCTGGATATCGAGCTTTTCTTTTTGTATTTATAGGCTTAATTATATCGGTGGTTCAGAATTTTATACCTCAACATATTAACTGCCACGTACTCACTTAATATAAAATAATTTTTTAAAATAGCCAAAATTTACATATGAATAAACAAAAAAATCTTTTCTAAAAATTATTTTCTTCCGTTCCGGAAATTAAAATTTTTGAATTTATTTTTTGAATAACCATTCCTTTAACAGATGAAAATTTTAGATTATTATTGGTACACCCCCAATGTACCACAGACCCTGTCTAGTCGACCACGACTTCATTTTAACTTGTCAAATCCGATACGCCTTAGTATGGTTCGATGTTCGTCGACGAGCTGAATCGAACAATACCAGGGCCTCTCGTATTCAATAAATTTTGAACGATGTTAGATAAGTAGCTCGTCGGTACATTGGCTTGCTTCCAAAATTACCAGACTTGATATTTACACCCATAATTTAACTCTTTCAAAGTACATTTTATAAAATTTTTTATAAATTTTATTAAGCATTTTGAATTAATTTTATAATTAAAAACATATGAGTAAACATTAATATTAAAATTTTTAACTTCAATAATTTTGTTTCTTTCCTGAAATATTTATTTAACTATAGACATCCCATTTTATCGAAATATCAAGTTTAGTAATCTTGAGAGCTGGCCAATGTACCAACGAGCTATAATCGCGCGTTAACATAGAAAGTGTCTTGCGTTTAGCGACAAAAAATAGCTATGGGACAATTAATCCGAGCGTGTAGAGCGAGTAAATTCTAGTTAGGATATTCCAAAAGGTCGAGAAAATAACGAGACGCGATTTTGTCTCACGGGACGGATGCTAGTTTCTTGGGACGCATGCTAGCTTCTTACATGACGCGCAGTAACATTGTTCAAAATTATTGAATACGTGAGGCCCTGGTATTGTTCGATTCAGCTAACGACGAACATTGAACTAGGTGCATCCCGGAAAGCATACATGACTTGACAATTTTAAATGAAGTTATAACTCGGTGGTACATTGGGCTCGCAGTAGATCAAGTGTATATTCTCTTCCGTAAAATCAAGCTGTTCAATTTTACTTTATCACTTCTGAGGAATACTATCCAAAACTCACCTATTTTCCATAAAATCTACTAGAAAACAAACTCCTCCTCTACCAAAAACGAAAATCTATTTCTAAGTTTACCCTCAGTATTATGGCAAAAATATAATTAAATTAATTAATAATTTCAGTTACTTTCACGAATCGACATTCGAATATCGCTAGAACTCCTCTTGGAGATGTTCTCCATCTCTTTACGTCAAATCCCATTGCCTACATCAGGAGAACTACTGATTCAACAAAAACAGCCTCAACATAGGGACAATGAATCCAAGCCTGTGGATGGAGTAAATTCTGGTTTGGCTAGTCCAGAGAGTCGGGAGAATAAAATTATGGAAGAGGAGGAACCAGAGAGTGCTGAGAATTCACAACAGACACTTGAAGGACCTATGGCCGCACAATTAGTTATGACAGACATACTTGCCCAGCAAATTAAACTAGCTGGGGGTGCTAGTGCAATGACATCAGCATCTCTATTAGAGCATCTCTTTTCATTAATAGCAGCTCTACTTGAATACCAACCCGAAGAAAGATTTATAGAAAATGGTTGGCCACATACTTGTAGGGATCCGGAGGGTGATCAGTTCGCAGACTGTCTGCGTTGTCAACAGGCTCTTTTTCTGTATCAGGTAAACTCACTTTTAAATTATGGTATGCCCCTTAGACTTATACGGATTAATTCAAGCTTTTGGTCAAAAAAGTTCCAAAAAATCTAATAATGTTCCTTTCAGCCTACGTATAGAGTGAAGGGAACATCTATTTAATGAAAATTCATAACGCAGACCCTCGACAGGTTTTAGGCCATTCATTGCCCTCATTCCCTAATTGTAATTCGCCAACATACCGTTGCCCGAAAGGTTCTCTCAAAATGATCGAAGATAAAGAGGTCTGAGACCAAGAGACCATTCTTAAATTAAAATCAAAAGAAATATTTTAAAGGTATTACTCCAAGTTCTCGAACAATTTTGTCCCAAAGAGGAATCACGCCTTGATGCTCTCAATTACGGAGACGAAACAGCACGTGATTTTGCCGATTGGCTAAGCGAGGCTAGCAGCTCTGTTCACCAACAACAACCTCAGGGTGTTGTAACCGATGGTAACTCTCCGAGGCCCTCGCCCTCTCCTCGAGCTTTATCTTCTTCTCCTGCCGGGCATACATTCTTTGGATCACCAATTACTCAAAAAAGACAACAACAACAGCCTGTTCAGAAGACATCAACACCCTTAATTAAGGCTAGACAGGAGGTATAAAATTATAATACCCCTCAGAAAAATCTAAGTTACTTTAAAAGGTAAGCACACCAAGTGCCGAAATGGTAGGCGCTTTACCCACTGATGACGTTGATTCAGCAAGTGAACAAGTTGCAGCATTTTCATTTGCTGAACAAAGCCCTCTGGGAGTAGCCTGTATAAGTGCTACAGTTATTGGTGGATTATTACAACAACAAGAAGCGGCTTTAACCGAGAAGAATGCTTCGGAAGCGGTCGATGGGGAGGGTAAAATAAAAATAGGAAAGACTGAACAAAAAGAGGAACAACGCATATTTTGGGAAACCTCAGTAGGACGATTTCGTTTTTCTTTGGAGCAACTACCTGCTCAGTTAAGACTGACATATGTATTGCTTAAGGTAATTCCATAGCCTATGTTCTCTTCAGACAACAAGTAGGCTGTAGGGAACATCTGGTCTACTAGTGTTCTCTTCAGCCCATAAGTAGTGTGAAGGGAACATTTCGGTTTCCAGGCTAAAACATTTATTTAAAGAATATTGAGCGAGAGCCCGATCCAGATGTTCAATTCTTCCTTCTGAGTATGCTTAAATACTTGTTTCTGCATAGAGAGTGCCTCTTGAACGCACGAAAGGAGCAAGGTTCCTTAAAAAATTCGAATACCCTCAAAAATAATTTAACAGAGCATCGCGGTTTTCTTGTCTGGATACAAGAGAATTTGTTGATCCCTCGACTTTGGAGCTTGTTACGATCTGACTACTCACATGTTTGAGAAATAATTTTAAATAGAGTTTTAAAGAAATTTTTAAAGGTTGGCCAAATGGCAACTCCACTCCTTTTACATGCTATCACTCTTCCATTGGGGGATGACGTCTTTTGGGAAAGTGTGAATGCAGAATTTACTTCCTCCGAATGGGAACGACGCTTAAAAGCTGGTGTATTTTTTATTTCCTTTGCTAAATAAAACTTTGAAATTTTTATGTTCCCTACGCACTATAAGTAGGGTGAAGGGAACATAAAATTTTTTATTTCTTTTGTAGTGGATCGAGTCCTAGTACTTGCCCATTTTGTACCTCCTGCTGCTGTTCGCTCAAACAGAACACTGTTAACGTCGTTGAGTTGCGCATTCTCTCATCTAATAGTCTCAGTGCACGACCCAAACCCAGCTGTCGCTCAGAAGGCTCTTCTCTTACTTGAAGCACTTCCTCGCAGTTCGTTAACGGTAAAACAGGAATCAAAAAAAAATTTAAAAAAAAACAAATTTAAGCTAATTTGTCACTGTTTGGAAGCCCAATTTGATTCGTGCATACTTGACCGTCCATTAATCATTGCACGTATTCATCTACTTAGCGTGCTTCTCCCAGAGGAGAATTTACTGTCCTGGGACTTTTTTATTCAAAGATTCGAAACTTTATCATTGGAGGCTCATCTTAAAGCTCAACAGAATGCTGGAGCTGATGCTAGTATGCATTTTTTGCAAGGTGATTATTGTTTGAATGACACGTTTTCTCAGACTTATAAGTTGGAGGAACATCACATATAGGGTGAAAGGGACCTCTTATCGAGGCATGTGGGGAACATCGAATGGGCTTTTAAGATAGGGTGATGGTAGTTGATATAAGGCGAAGGGTAGGTGAACACAGTGGGAGGTGAACATTCCATAAACCCTAGTATGAGATTAGCTTTCAATAGGGTGAATGGAACTTTTAATTTTTTGATTTGACTCTTCAAATTTTACATTATTATTTTTCCTATCAGATCTTCTCCATTCTGATCCAATGAGTGATGTTTATCAGCGGAAAGTTACCCGCGCTCGACAATCCCTCAACGAGGCAGACAACGTGCGCTCGATTGTGCGTTCACTTCGGGAACATTCTTTGCGTCATCAACTTAATCCCGGTGTACGTGGTGACCAAGGTGGGTTTTTAGTAACCAAGAATCATTCAAAATCATTTTCGATTATCATCTTTGCCGTGTTTTGCTGATCAGAATTGCTTGCTTTTGATGCATGCTTTTGCTAACATAATTTTATATATCTTGCTAATATTTTTATAATAGATCCTAACACAGGAATCACTAATCTCCTACTAAATTTATTTGATTCTTAACTCGGATAGGTTCCATTAGCCGTAATTATAATGAATGCTATTATATTCTGACTTCACAATAAATAGATTCTTGGGGATGAAAATCCGGAATTACCGACGTCTTAATTCTCGGTCCGCGGATTCGAGAGAGACTTCTCGAAATGGGGAATTTATTTTTCTATATCGACAGGAGTCACAAAATCTATATATCATATCGTAAACTACTACTATTGAGTCTAACTTATAGTGAGGTCAGTCTTCAATGAATCATGGCATATGACCACTAAGTTTCCCAAATAAAGTTTTCTCACAAAAAATCACAGAACGCCGCGATGCTGCACAACAAGTTTTACGCGTATGCCTTCGCCGTGGAGCTGTTGCAGGAACAACAGAAAAAATCCATGGGCGTTCCGCTCGGGACCTGGCTCGTCTCAGACTGCGTAAAGTTTTGGTAGTAATACGTGTAGTCAGTGCCTGGCGTGAAATGGCGGGCAGATTGCTTCTGCCATCATCCCGAAGGTCTTCAAAAATGTCCCATCAAAGTGGGGGAAAGGATGAGGGGGAATTTGTGAACGAAGAACAACAGCAGCAACAATCACTTTTATTGCCACACCATCAACATTTGTTGGAATTGGCAGATCAAGGCCTAGTAGAAGATATGGGATTTTCTGAACGTTATTTTACGGTAGCAAGACGGTCAATTCAATCAACACCTCCTCTGTTGTTGCCTACTCTCCCTCAGTCTAGAGCGGGTTCTACAACTTCTTCGTTGGCGTGTACGCTTGAATTTTTTTTAATTTGTTATTGTTGTTTTATAAACTTTGTTGTGTTTGTTAAGTGTACTTTTAATTGTTTTTTTGAATTTTGGATTTACTTTGACTTGCTTTTACTTGACTTTTCGTACCTAAAATTTTAAAATCTAACTTTCTTCTATTCTTTTCTCTATCATCTTTCCTATCTTTAAAAAGTATCTGGAAGATCTGGTTCTACAATAATAATTAAACAGTGTTTTATTACAAGTCCTAGGTTTGGGCCTTTTGCTCTTGTCTTTTCATTGACTTGGAAACATCAGAAACTCGGATTTTATCAAAATAATCGGTCTTCGGTCTAGTAGGCCTGTCCTCGCCGGGTTCAAATTCTGTTTTTACATTTTTCGTCAGGCTCCTATTGACCCGACTCTGCCAGAGCCCTATTAATCATTATTTTCAACTTATAATTTTCATTTTCCGGTTACTTTACTTTCCTTTCACCTTTCTCGTTATTAAATTACTATCTAAACATTAAATAATCATAAAATTATTTAGTGGATTTGGCTCATCCATTAGTGCAATCAACAGTCTCTGCTTCATCTCTCAGCCCTAGAGCTATCGGCTCTGGTTTCTTTTTTTCTTAAAAAATTTATTTTGAATTAATCAGATTCCCGGTATGGTAGAATGCGTGAATTTACCGATGAAGAGTCCAATCTTTGTTTGCTGTTAAACCGGGTAGTGGATATGCAAAACCCGGAAAGGTTGGAATATACATAAGTTAAACTAGTCTATTTCTTTATTTAGACATACAGTATCACTCGTGGTTTCATTGTTTGTCCATTTTTTGGCTAGCAAGAGATGTGGCCCTGCTGATAATGCGAAGAAGCTAAGTGTAAGTAGAGTGAAGAGAACATCTAGTAATGTAAAAGGGACATCATGTGTGTGAAGAGAATCTAATAGTGTGAGGGTTAACACACACCATTCCATGGTCCTTACAGTATACCTGTAATAATGTATACCTGTAATCTCCTTTATCTACCCTCGCTTTTAAGTGTGGACTTTTTGTAGTTGTACAGAAAATCTAGTAGTGCGTAAGGAACATCCATAGTGCGAGAGGAACATATTACTCATAATTATATCATAATTTCATCAGGTCCTTCTTCGACATTTCAATACTCTTCTTGGCTACAGTAACTCTGAGAAGTGCTTCACAATACCCCCTGCTCGTCTACGTCGCGCAGCCGTCTGCAACGCTTTTTTGCATGGATTACCAGGAGTACTGGATTCTAATTTGCTGATAGGCAATCAAGTAAATGAAATTTTCTATTCGGAAAATTACGGAAAACTTCAATTTTTTAAAGTTGCTTTCTATCGTTCTTCAACTTCTCCTTTACCTACCCTCACCTCAAAAATTTGCTAGCGATGCCCCTTCAGCCGATTATTCTCTTCGGTTGCTTTCTACGCAACAAAGGCATAATTGGCTACATTCAATTATCATTATACTTTACAAAGTAGATTAACACTAAACTCTATCATTAATCCAAAATTCCCCCTTAAAAGTATCGTTGCGACGCTGCCCCTACAAACGACGCTATACGCAAACAGATGCTTATAGTTGTACAGACCTTGGAGCAGCAATGCCATCGTTGTCCTCCTACCTCACAAAATCAGGAGCAACAACCACCTGTAGCTATAGCACCTGAAAATAAGGAGAGGCGATCGGCTACGTGTCTTTTGGAAGCACCTGGGCCTGATGGGCAGTGGTCGTCGTCTACAGAGGATTCTGAACTTGGAAATGATTCAGGCTAGAATCTTTGTTTGATAAAAACTTTAGGGTAGCCGGTTTTATAGAAAATTCGGCTTTTCAGGTCCGAGAGGAAAAAGGGAACCGAAGAACTAAATGATGTGAGGGGCCATATTACTTAGCTTCCCCTTACTCATGAATTTTAACCACTATTGACTTCCACCTCATCTTATTTTTGAATGCCCCTAATGCCACCTTCACCTTATCCTTGAATGTCCTCTTCATCCTATCCTGTACCATTCCTTTTCACCGTACTTTTGAATGATCCATTCAAGATCACAAATGACTTTTCCTGCCTGTTATTAAAGCACCTAATAGTGAAATGTATTCCGAAAAATTTTTAGGAGTAGAAGAATTAAATAACGACCTTGCGTCTACCAAAATAGTGGATGGCGCAACCGAACCCTTCAAAGAAAAAAGATTTGCTTCGGTAGATGAAGTAGAAACGTTAAAAGAACACAATGGTGCATCTTCTACTAAAACTTCTATGCAGCACCGACCCGAATCCCTTAAAATTATGGCTATGCGAGAACATGGAGGTGGTAGTGCTTCCGACATTTCTCGCAAAGAATCGAATAAAACGAAGGGCTCGGAGTCTGCTAAGGTAGCTAAATATGCATTTATTTGATTCTTAAAGGTAATACGGACCTCATTTTAGAATATTTTCTTGTAGAATTTCATTATACTCCTTTGGGGAGTACGAAGAGGTTTTTTATGGTGCAGACTTCTTAGTAAGGCTGCTATATATGCTCCATATTAGAGCCCGGCTCGATACGATTTTTTATCGATATTTTTCGATATTTTTTTCGATATTATCGAAAAAATACCGACTGTGAAAACTTTGACTTTTTCGATATTTTTCGGTATTCGATATTTTTCGATATTTATCGAAAAATATCGACCAAGCCTTCCGTCCGGGCTCTACTCCATATAGACAGAAGGCTAACCTCATAACAGTGCTATACCGACTGAGAATATCCGAATTTTTGAACTCCTTTACTAGAAAATGACGTCTCCTTATTAAATCATTTCTTTTAGACATTGGATACTCGCCCGCCCGTCATCGCTCTTCATCCACCTGCAGGGATCAGACGTTCTAAAAGACGTCCCCACAGCCAAAAACACCAAAGCAGCGTCAGAAAAAACCAAAAAACAAACAAACCAACAAAACGTGGAGCTGATTTTACGAGGCTAACATGTTCCTACTGTGGGGCTCGATTAGAATCTTTTGATGAGGAGACACTCTCACTTTGTTGTGTAGCTTTGTGTACGTTTCTGCAAAGAGTGCCCAGTTTAGCTGCTCCTCTGCTACAGAGAACTGTTGAGTTTTATAAAAATTTCAAAAAAAATTCAGAAAACTTTCTTATGATTTTCATAAATTTAAAAAATTTAAGCATTAAAAGGATTTTTTCCTTAAAAGTCAGAAAAATCATTTTATTTGCACCTTTAAGAACCTGGTAGTGCTTCGCCGGAATCGCAAATCTGGCCGGATCCGGAACCGGAAATTCCGGCGAAGCTCTTGAGCTTCTTTGCACGGCACGTTTCATAGAACATAGGCTTTTCATTCCCCTCTAATCAAAGATATGGGAGTGGCAACTCCTCCCCATGGCTACCAAATAAATGATCAAAATTAGGAAATCGCTTTCGGCCTCAAAAAAATTTTTTTACTTAAAATATCTTCTTTATCATTACATTTAATAATTTTTAAAATTCCTCAAAAATTTTTAATTACAAAAATTTTTTTAAATTAAAAAATTCAAAAATTTTTTAGCTTCTCTGCACAGCCCGTTTCATAGACATCCCACAATTTCCTTGGCACGACTCCAATATTTTCGTCCCAGGAAACGCCAAAAGTGCTGCCAAACAATTAATTCGTATAATTTTACACCAATTATCTGGAAGTGGAATAGCTCTACAACTTTTTAATTTACACATTCAAGCAGACGAATTATACTCTTTTTGGAGTAAAATAGCTCTTTCACTCGTTGATTTTACCGAATTAAATCCTGTTGCTTTTTTACAAAATTTGTTAGAGGTAGAATTTTTCAGGGGAACAATTTTTTATATACGGAGGAAACCTAAAATTTTAATCAACTTAAAAAAATTGATTTTTTAAATTTATTTAGGCTCTTATGCATAGTTTAATAATTCTCTCATTTAGCTACAGTATAGAAATAATTAGTAAAATTTGCCGCAATGAAATGTTTTTAAAAAAATTTAATTATACCTATGCCGCTCAGACCTTCCTGTGTAGGCATCTTTGGGGCTTATACCCGGTGCTAACATTGATTTGAGGTCTCGTGCCCGGGGCTAACATTATATAAAATGCCGTAAATGCTCTAATTAAAGCCCGGCTCTATTAGAAGCCCATATCTAATATAAGCCACCAAAAATGGACTATCGAAAAATAAACGCCCATTCCCTAATAGAAGCCAATATCTAATATAAACCCACTCAAATTGACCCATTGAAAATAGAAGCTCATGGCTTTAATTAGAGCATTTATGGTAATTTACAACAAAAATATCAATAAATATTTTTTAATTTTTGAAAAAAATTTTTAACTAATTTCACCCAAATTTCCCTTATTTTAAGCAAAAAAAAATTTTTTAATCTAAAGGATATAGCAGATGGATGGCCAATTAAAGTAACCAGAATTCTGCACAATTTAGCAACTTATATCCAATTTGTTCCTACTGAAGCACTCTCTAATTGGGCGGCGGTAGTGGCTTTAATTGACGGTCTTTATAGACGAATGCACACACAAGTCTGGAAAATTTTTATGAAAAATCCCCAAAAAAAATTTCAGCTTATAAGCGAGGCTACCTCCAATTTAGCTGCAGTTTCGAATGCAGCACAGTCTGTCCAAAACCAATTAATTAATAATCAACAGAAGCAGTTCAGGTCTGAACTGGCCAGTTCAGGCTAGTTTAAATTAATTTAAGGTCTTAATAAAATTCTGAAAAATCAGAAAAATTCTGAAAAAAATTCTGAAAAAAAATCAGAAAAATTCTGAAAAAAATTCTGAAAAATTCTGAAAAAAATCAGAAAAAATTCTGAAAAAATTCCAAAAAATCAGAAGAATTCTGAAAATAAATGAAAATAATTCTGAAAAAAATCAGAAAAGTTCTGAAAAAATTGTCAGAAAAAATCAAAAGAATTCTGAAAAAATCAGAAAAATTATCAGAATTTTTATAGTACTAATTATGAGTCGAGTTCTTCGTGTACAAGGCCTCGCAACGATCAAAGGTGCTGTACAAGCAATCGAAGCCTTTGCTAAATGGCTCGTAGAAATGCTTCATAAATGTCCCGTAGAGCTGTGTGATTTGTTAGTTGATTTTGTAAAAATAATTTAGCAAATCTAAATTTTTAGATTGGCTGTATGCACTGCCTGCAATCGGGTAAACAGAATTAGATTAAATCTGAGGTTCCATTTCTTCTCATTCCGAGGCTGGGAGGGGTCATTTGGGTTACCAGCTCTTCAGCACTCCTTAGTTACCTCCTTGGCTAATCCTAAATAACTAACTCAATTCTAAAATCAAATATCAATTTAGGGGTCGAATCCATTTCTTCCCAGTTCGAGAGTCGGAGGGATCTTGAGATTGGGGAGGGATCCCGAGAGTGGGAGGGATACCGTCCAACCCAGATTAAGATAATATTAGATTCGAGAATAACAAAAATTAACGCTTTTTCAAGACCATGAACGGCTTTGCCCAACCAAATATTTTATCTTACCCTCAGGGCATGATCCGCGAACGAGATAAGCAAATCCTAACACGCTCCGTAGTTGCTGAACTTCTCTCAGCTTTAAAATTTAAATGTGAATTGGCAGAAGAAAATTACTTGACTATAGTAAGGATGGTTTTGCAAGACTTTGGAGAGCCTTTAGGTGATGACTGGATTAATACACCAACAAATTCTAGCGGTGAAAACGAGGAAGTAAATGAAAACCAAAATAATAGAAAATTTTCTTCATTTTCCTATTGGAAAAATAATTCTCAGCAACAACAGACAGACCAATTTAATACTGGAGCAGCCGAAGCTATTAGGCCACATGTACCCGAATTATTAGAATTTATTTCAGATATGCATGTATTGGCTAAATTGAAGGTAGAAAAAGATTTAGTTAGAGATTTAGTTGGTTTAGCACCTTCCCCTTTCAATGCTCCTTTCAACCTACTTATGGTTGTTACATTCACACCGCAATATGTTCTACACACTCATTAATGAACCTTTACCCCCTACCACCCTCATCTTATTTTTGCATCCCCCAATGCCACATTCACCTTACCTTTGAATGTCCCCAATGTCACCTCACCCTACTTTTAAATACCCGCAATGCCACCCTCATTTTATCTTTGAATGTCCCCAGTGTCACCTTCACCCTACCTTAATGTCCTCTTCATCCTATCCTGTACCGTTCGTCTTCACCTTACTCTTGAATATTTCTTTCAAGAGCCCAAAGGACTTCTTCCTGAAGGTCCGATTCCAGCGCTCCTTACTAAGCTTTCTAAAATCTAAAATTACCTACAAAGTCAGAAGCTTCGCTAAGACTTAATATAAAATTTCTTTTATTAGAAACAATCCGCTAGCAACAGCGACAGAGTTGGCGGAGATTTAAAAGCTGGACTAGCAGAAGTTGTGGCACTTGAAATGAGTCGACCATCTGTTCGGGATTCTCGAACTGTAAGAGCAAAATTAATTTTTTTTTCAAGAATTTTTTCTCTATAATCTCAAGGTTATGCGCTTCATTCCTTGGCTTTATTCCCCTCCTTCACTTGCCCAAGCCCTTCCAGGCCAATTTTCAGAATCTGTAGCAAACGTCCGCGTTCTCGCTTGGATTCTACTGGGTTCTCTTCATGCTAGAGGAGTAAACGGATTTTCTTCGAATTTCCAACAATTTCAACAACAACAACAAACAAACATTAACCAAAACATTTGTTTGCCTGTACCTATTGCTTGTTCTACTCAAATGGCTGATTATATAAATTTTGTGTTAGCAGGGTTTGCTGATCAGTCTAAGGTGTTTTTATCAAAATATTTGTTAGTATATTAGAGGGTTTTTCAAAGCTGAGAATTTTCCCCCGAATTTCTGAATTTGTTACATATCTCTAAATAACAATTTTGGACTAAAACAAAGGCTTTTCCACATTTTACTTTGTTTTAGGGCACTCCGACTTCCGGCACCCAGACCCGCCCACGACGAATTTTTACGCAAAAACCCCGACACGAACCACGAAGGCTCTACCCGGGCAAATCCCGAAACCCGACACTCCCGCCCCCGAAGGCTCGGGATGCTACCCTACTTTGGCAGTTCTATTTTAATTAACTCGATGACTTAGATTACTGTAGTTTCCCTCATTAAATGATTTCCGATCCCTCTTTTATTCAAAAATAAATATTAAAAACGCAATACACTTGTAAAATGTCATGAGTAGGTTCTCGGTTCCTGAAATTTTCGGATATCCAAAACCTAACATAAAAATTTCTAGTGATCAGTAGTGTCTCGAAATTTCGTTTCGACGAATTAGAGATAATACCAAGCTGAAATTTTTGGAAGGTCATCGGTTCTTCAACCCTATCCACGAGTAGCCCTGACTGAACTACTTAGCTGTTCAATAGTTATATACAATTTTTTAAGACACTCATTTTAATGACGAGTTCCCCTAATTTTTACTTTTTAAAAATTTCCAGCAATCAGTTGTTCATATGTCTGCCCTCTTTCACGCCTTCCATTTATGCCAGTTATGGACTATTTATTGTGAACAAACAGCTACTTCGAGTCGTTCAGAGGAAATGGTAGCTAAAACCATGCAGCAACTTTTAGACTTTTGGGCGCGTGTTACTCCAGCCATCTTACAACTACTGTCCCATTCTAAAGTGGTAATAAATAGAAGATTTTTTGAGTCTTTAACTCTCTTGATATAATGGCTTTCCTTATGAACGTTCGGGATCTAGCCGGGTTTTTGATATAGTCGACGGGCATAAGCACATAGCTTATCAGTAGGAAAATGTACAATAGAGATGAATGGAGTCGCGATTTTGGCTCCATTCGGGATCGGGATTTAAGAGAAAAAGTCGGGATTTTGGAATGGTGATACTGGATTGACCCGAATCGGGATCGGGATTCATCTTTCGTTCTCGGGATCTAAAAATTGGATCGGGGTTCGATATACATCTGAACTCTACGAAAGACTTGATTAACTTCTACCTCTCCCCTACTACTTATACTGAATAAGTGATGGAAAAATAGGTTGTCTGATCGGTCTAGTTATCAAATAATATCGAAAAACAAAAAAGTTAGGGTTCTACAATGAATCTTTCTTTCCCTCGTAAAATTATTTTAAGTTAGCTGATATGGTCAATCTCCACTTTGTAAACACCCTTCAAGCCCTACAACAATTTAATTCTGCTGTACTCTGTCAACTTTATCCAATGTGGGAGCCCGTTTTAACGGTACACCATGCACACGTTCCGCGAAAGTTGAGACTTAAATTTGAATCTGTTGAGGCTCAGGCATGTTTCTTCTTCGAAAACTTTAAGAAAAAATTTTTTTTATTTTAGGTGCCTTTGGAAAATGCACAAATGCGTTCTTGGCTTTCCAAAGTTCGCTATAAAATTTCCCAAATTGAATTACAAACAAGTGCTTCTTCCCCATTCTATAATGTTTAATTTTGTTTGAGAATCTCATAAATTTATATTAATAAAATTTTATTCGGTGTGATTTTTAAGTCTTAATATATAATTAAGTACATAGTTGAAAAGATGTTAAATGGTGTAACGATTTGCTTCGAAACTTGTAACAGACTTCGAACTCTTACTAAACGAAAAGATTAACAAGTACTAGTTGCGAGACCAGAAAAGCACTGGTAACGTATCGATCTGAACCGATTTGTTTTTTACGATTATTGATAATGATATGCGGGTAAATTCGTAGATAATAAAAAGATACATTACATAAAAATGCCCAACTGTGTTCATGCCTTCCAAATTTCTTCTTTAAAACAAAAATTTAAACATTCCTTATGATGGAAATTTTTTTGAGGTGTGTACCCCTTTTTCAGTTGCTCTTTGTGATTAGAGATCTCGATAATTAGAGATCTTGTTCTTTTTATTTTCTACTTAAAATCGATGGAAATTTTCAAAGAAATTTTATAAAATTTATGGTAAACAATAATTAATTATTTTAATTAGCATGGTCCTATCTCTCCTATCTCTTCTTCCACACCTAAAATTGAGCAGTACTGTTTTTTAATTTTAGTAAAAAGTTTGACGCTAAATTAAACTAAAGTATAACCAGCTTAGAGAGCATCTATTTTACACATTTTCACAAAAATTTGAGTATTTTTGAAAAATTTCTGACTAGAAATTATTTTTGGTAAAAATATATTTTTCAAAAAAAATTTTTAAAATTTTTGTTTTGTATACCGATATTGCATAAATGTTTTGTACGCGAAAATACGAATATGAATTGCGCAAAAATGTGTTTTAACGATGGTCTTAGCACTTTTGTTGAATTTTATTTAAAATCGGCCGGAATTATGCACGTTTCGGAATTTTTATATTTATTTTTTTAAATGTATAATTCTAAAATTTATTCTAAAAAATTTATCACAAAATTTTTTAAATAATTTTCTTTTCAAGAATTTGTTCAAAGTATTTTTGTAAACGAAATAATTCATATAAATTGATTTATGTATCAAAGTTAACTTATAATTATCATTTTAATGATTATATTCAACATTTTTGATAAATTCTAGTCTATTTTTGCATGAAGCAGATTACATACATATCAAATCAGATTACTCTCTAATAATGGTGGTGTAAAAGAAAAAAAGAAACTAGGCCTATATCACTTGAAATTTGCTAATAGATAGGATTAATCTTATTTTTCAAAAATTTTTATCGAAAATTTAACAAATCGTTAAACGTTTAACAAAACGCAATTTTTACATTTTATTCAAAAAAATTTTTTAATTTTAATAAAAACGTATTTAAATAAAAATATAAATTATAATTGTCAAAAATTAATTAATTACCAAAAATTCATTCATATTCAAAATTTTATATTTCTTGCTTCCATACAAGTTAGCCAATGCATTAAACGGGCCTGAGATTCTTCCTTGCGTTCCCTTCAAGTTGTTCTTATTAATATTTTGTCTTATTGATGAGGATTGATAATATTGAATAAAAATTGGTGTATTCAGTAGTAGTACATCTGTCTAAAAGTACAATAACGTATTTTCAAAATAAAGCAACCCCCACGGAAATAGAGCCCCACTCTTAATAAAAGCACACCCAAAAATAAAGCGTAGTAGCAAACCTCCACGGAAACCAAAGGTAAGGAGTTAAAACAAACGAGCATAACTTTGTCAAATCAAGTCAGACTTCATTTATTTTGGTGTCATTCGACTCAACTCGGGGAGCTCTTTCGAATGAGCTATTGTTTACATATTCAAATTTTTCACCACAAAATCTAACTTACTCCTCCATATGGTTTTTCAATTTTCGGAACCTATAAAATTCATTTCCAAAAGTAGGGAGTGGTACCGTTCGACTCAGCTCGTCGAGACGAATCGAATGACATGTCACGTACCGAACTTTTGCTGGGTACACTACAGCCAAATAAACCCCCCAATTCGTATGATTACCCTAAAATGCCCTCATACTTGTTGAATTTTTTGGTTAAGTGGTTACTTAAATTGTAATTGCGGGTTCGAACCCTTTCAGGGAAAAATATTTTTTTATTTTCTAGAATTTGAGCGAAACGAGTTCCCAAAGCCAAACCCTCCATCCAAAACACACCAGTTATAAGTAGGGCTCGGATTTATATTGAAATAAAATCGCAAAATATGGCCATAAAATATTGAAATAAGTGGGCAAAATATTGACAAAAAATGCCAAAAATTAGTGAAATATTGAAATAAATTTTCGTTTAGTCACTAGAAAACCCCCCAAAAAAGTTGAAATTTAACAAAAAAAACGAATCATGTTTATAAAATTTCACATTAGCTTTATAACCCGACGAATTGAGTTACTTTACGCTCTTGGACATTTTGCGATTGAAAAAATGAGGTTGGGACATTTAGTGGGTTTTGCTCAATGTCCATTTTTGAGGTTTTGCTTAACAAATTTTGAGGTTTTGCAAAGTTTTAGGTTACGAAGAATGTTACTAAGAATGTCTCGGGAATAATTAGTGGGAAAACAACGGTATTGTAGTGAATAATAGGCCATAATATCACCTTTTCAGCGCCGCAGGCGAAAATTCTGAGAATTTTGGAAGACGAAGAAGCCAAATTTTTCCATTTTTAGCGCCGCAGGCAAAATTTTTGAGATTTTTGGTTGTGGCCAGATTTCTTCACTTTTTTCCTAAAATTTATGAAAAATCCCTAAATTTTGGTAAAAATATGCAAAAATATTGAAATAATTTGAAAAATGTGCCAAATATTGAAATAATGGGGAAATTGGCAAAATATTGAAATATATTGAAATTTAACTTCGTTCAAAATCATAATATCAAAAAACTAATGGCATATTTGTGCTTCTCTCGCCATAATATATTCAAGAAAAAAAAATATATTTCAATACAAATCCGAGCCCTAGTTATAAGATACACATTTTTTCAGTACCAAGGGGTCCGCTAATTGTATTATGAATTAAGCATACCATTAATTCTAAACTTTCGGATTTAAAATCAAAAATAGTAAACTCTCTATTTTCTTGATCTATTCCTCCATAAAGTGCCTTTTCTTGCTTTTTAACAAAAATTAAAACATTTCCATGCTGCCAATATTGGACAAGTAATTCTAATAATTTTAAAAAATTTTGGTGTTCCTCCAAAACTAAAGCATGTTGCTCAACATCTTTACAAACTACACTGCGACCAACCTTTAAAAATTTGAAAAAAATTATAAAAAATTGAACGCTTCCCCATAGTGTGGCTAATCAAATTTAAAAAATCACATTTTAAATAATGTTGTATCTTATATTAGGGGTATCTCATTGAGATCTGCCTGTACCTCATTATGTGTATATTAAATAGAAGTGTATGAGCTACTCATCCAGTAACCAACCAAATTTTAAAAAAAACATCTTAAATTGAGGTGTATCCAAATAAATTGGGTGCACCTACTAGCCAAGGTCCTCAACTGTATTCATAAAATATACTTACAATTTCCGCAGGTCTTTCCAAAACCTTCCTTGACAAAGCCTCCATTGTTTTAGGAAAAGTAGCAAAGAAAAGAACTGTTTGTCTATCAGGACGTACATTATTTATCATTTTCATTACATGTGGTTCAAATCCCATGTGATAAATTAAATATGTAACACGATGAAGATTGATGACTTTACCTAGAAAATTTATTTTTGAGAAATTATAAGGAACAAAATTGTTAAAATCAATGAACATGGGCTATCGGTCGTCAGAGAATTATTTTTAAAAAATTGTAAAATTTTGTTAAGTGGGAAAGCTTTGTGTTCATGAAGTAAAAGGTCGCAGGTTCGAACCCGCTCAGGGTAAAGTTTTAATTTCATGAAGTTTAACTGATTTATGGGGATTAATTAACAAATTAACCCAAAATCTACCTAATTAAGCTTTTCAAAACTCACGTTCATCAACAAAAAGCATTTCATTTGGGCTCATCTTTTGAAACACCACTTTTCTTATTGACGTCCTTCCGCTTCTTTTCAGTTCCATTATGACCCAAAAACAAAAAAAAAAATAAAAATAAGTTAAATACAAAAATAACAAAAATACTATTGTAGGTCTATAGCCAACAGAGAAGACCGAATCTGTTTCATCGTCCTCTAATCCATATTCCTCGTCTTGACGACAAAAGGCTCTGTTTGCCATAAGAACTAGTCGAAAAATAAGAAAAATCTATAAAAATAAGATTATTAGACTTAAATAAAATTAATCAAGTATTTAATCGAATGACAGAAAGTTGAAAAATCCCTCCCAAAAATGTCCAGTCAACTACAAAAAAATGTTTTAGAACTTTTTTGATTGCCGAGCATTTTGAAGAGAGAAAACCCAACCTTCTGCAACAACAATAAAATTACAAAAGAAAAATAAAAACACAAAAATTTTTTATTTCAGCAAAATAATATCAGCAAAAAATACAGAAAGTTTATTAAAATTCCTAAAAATTTGATCTATACAAAAATTTCGGAATTTCATAATTTGTAACGTCCACCAGTTGCTACTTGTCTGGTTAAACCTTGTGCGGCCTGAGAAAAATTTTTTAATAATTTGGACTGCAATATAAGCTAATTGACGAGGAGAGTTTCATCAGCTACTTTAACATGTTTTTTAATATGGGGCCAAAGGATGAGGATTAGCGACCCGCGCGGGTTGGGATCTCGCGCGGGATTTTGCGGAATCCCATCCCGCAATCCCGAGCACGTTTTCCAATTTGCGGGATTGTTCCTGCGGGATCCAGTCCCGCAAATATTTTAAAAGTTATTCCCTCATGCGAGAAAGGGGTTCGAACCCATAACCCCCAAAAAGAGATGTAAAATACTTAACCAAAAATAAATTTTAGTTGGTGGTTTTTACGCTCGAGTTCAAGGTCGAGTTCAAAACCCTTTCGAATATTACCCTATTTTTAAAATTGGCCATTTAAATAATAAAAAAAATTCTCTGCAAACCGTTAAATTCACTGGTTGTGCTTCCGTTCCTTTCATTAAAGCTTAAGCTGTTAAATGTGTTGCATCTTTTTCCATAGAAGATTGTCCCAATTTTGCAGCAATTTGTTCAGCCATTCCTCTTGCTGCTTCAACTTTCTTTTCTGTTGAAGGGTCAGGCTTTCCTCTCCATCCAGCAACTACTCGACGAGTTGTACCCTTTTACTGACTTTTAATCTTTAAAAAATAAGTAAAAATTAAATGTTAAAAAAGAAAAAATAGCAAAAAAATCCTTATAGTGTGAAAGGTTTATCAAAAATACTTTTTATTGAAGAATAAAAATATTTTTCTCTTAGGGGGTTCGAACCCACGGCCCCAAAAAGAGATGATAACCACTTAACCAAATGTGAGAATATACAAATAATGTTTAAAAAGCTCCATTTTTAAGGAAAAGTAGCTGAGAAAATAAATTATTTTTAAAAACTATACAATTTGGTTAAGTGGGAAAGCTTTATGTTCATAAAGGAAAAAGTCGCAGGTTCGAATCCGCTCAGGGTAAAAATTTAAATTTACGAGGTTTAACTGATTTATAGGATGAATTAACAAATTGCTTTAAAAAAATAAAAAAACCTATTATTAGCCGCAAGCATATCAATCATCCTTCCAGGTGTGCATACCACAACTTCAGCTCCCTTTTTTTAATTCCGCAATTTGTCCAAATATTGCAACACCTCCATAAACACAAACAACACGTATTCCCAAATTTCTAGCAAATTTACTTGCTTCTTTCCATGTTTGTAAAGCAAGTTCTCTTGTTGGGGACATGAATAAAGCTTCAAAAGAAAAAATTTTATTTAATCAAAAAAATTTTAAAAAACCGATAGACCCATCCATATCTTCCAATGGTTGTTGATCCCAAATGTTTTTTTTCACTTCCAGCTTTTGAAATTCCAATAACATTTCTTCCACTCATTATTGAAGGAATTGTTATTTGGTAATCCTTTAAAATTTCAAGAATTATTTAAAAAATTATTTCCCCGAAAAGGGTTCGAACCCGTGACCCTAATTAAGAAATATACACCACTTAACCAAAAATAAAAAAATTTTTAAAATAAAAAAAATTTTCATACTCTTAACAAACACTCTAAAACGCAACATTTGTGGAAAATCATTAATTTCCAACTCTTCTTCAAAATATTGAATTTGTTTCCATTGCTTTTTATTTAGCAAGCGAAATTCCCTTTAAAAATTTTTAAAATAAACAGCAAATTTTAGAAAATAAAAATATTTTCCCCGAAAGGGGTTCGAACCTATGACCCACAAAATGAGATGTACTAAACCACTCAACCAAAAATACATTTGTTCTATTGGTTTTTTTGCGGTCATGGACTCAAACCGATTTCGGGGAAGATATTTTTTTCTTTAAAATTGCTTCATTATTATAATTAAAGAAAAAATTTTCTGCAAACCGTTAAATTCTCTGGTTGTGCTTCTGTTCCTTTCATTATAGCTTTAGCTGTTAAATGTGTTGCATCTTTTTCCATGGCACCTGCTCGGCGAGTTGTAACTCTTTTTTGACTTCTAATCTTTAAAAAATAGGTAAAAATTAAATGTTAATAAAGAAAAAATTGGTTTAAAAAATTCCTTATAGTGTGAAAGGTCTATCAAAAGTATTTTTTGTTGCAAAATAAAAATATTTTTCTTTTAGGGGATTCGAACCCACGACTCCAAAAAGGGATGTAAACCACTTAACCAACTGTGAGAATATACAAGTAATGGTTGTTTTTTGGAGGGTTATGCGTACGAACCCGCTCGGAGCTTAAAAAATGTTTTAACTACCAAAAGGGACAAAAATTTTTAAAAAATAAAATTAAAACCTCTTTCCAAAATGGCCTATAACACTCTTGTGTGATTGTTTTGTGCCAACATTCTTCCTTTTACCAATAAACTTGAAGCAGTTTGTTCAACATCAATTCATCTTGTGCTTGTTCCTTTTCATCTTCAGGTTCGACAATATTTCACATATTTTGGGGCACAATTAAAAACAGACCAATCACAACAACATGAGCTTTTTTGTTCTAAAAGGGAAAAACCTTGAAATACTCCAAAAAATAAAACAAAAAACCTCCGCTCCCGCTCTTGCTTTTTGTAAAATTTTTGCCTTGTAAGCGTCCAAAGAATCTTCATCTACAGATTTAGTGCTGGGGGTATTAGTTGAGGTTATGTCCATTCTATATTGAAAATAAATTAAGCATAAGAGTTTGTGAGTGATGTTGGAGGGAAAGATGGAAAGGAACAAAACGGGAGATGGAAATCTTGGGATGAGTCCGGACAGAAGCACACCTGAGTCCCATCCAACACAGAATGACCATCGTCATTTATATATTTTACAGCGGAGCATAGTCCCAAAAAAGTCAAAATTTTGGACTCAATCAATAATTGAGAATCGTCAGAAACCGGAATCGTGTTAAACTTAACCCGGTAATATTGAACCGGACAGACCCTCTTTTTTCCTCCCGGATTTTTCACCTATATTTTTGCAAAATAATCAGACTTTTTACTTTCTTCCATTCAATTTGCAATTTCTAATTTTTGCCTAGAATAAAACAAGTAAAAGGAGGATTATTTTTTGGTATTCAATAAGTATGAGTTTTGAGAACTCATTTTCTCAATAAAAAATGAAACAACCTAATGAGGAATAAAATATCAAAAATAATCCTTTGTTTGATTGCAGGCAAAAATTAGAAAGGCAATTTGGATGGAAAAAAGGAAGACTGGGCACTTTGCAAACAATATAGGAAAAGGGGAGAAAAAAGGGCGTGTACGGTTCAACATTACACTTAAATCAGAACTAAAAATCATTCTTCTCCCCCCCCCCCCCCCAAATATTCTTCCTCCTAAAAAATTATTTAAAAAAACCTTTCAAATTATTTTCATTTGTTGCCACATCAACTCTCATATTTTCATCTTTAACTGTTCCATTCCCATTTTCAATTAAATTATTTTAATCATCATCTTCTCCTTCCAAAGTCCAAGAAGATGAAGGTTTAGCTTCTTCATGTAACGGAGGGGCAAGTATCCCTTCAGCAGTCTTTTTCTTGAAGTTTCTTCTGTTGTTCTCTCCATTTTTCGACTTTTCTCGCCTTTTTTGAATTTCTTGGCCAAGTTTTTCTGTTATTTTGTCCTTAAAATGAGTTTTCTCTTAACGTTTAGTTTTTTATTTTTGAGAGGAAGCCTCAACCTTTTTAAAACCCAGGAGAAATTGAACAGGGGGAGGAACCAGGCATGAATCGAACCTGCGACCTCCTCTAAAAACATATTTACTCCCAAGCAGGAGTGCCTCGGATTACCCAAATACAGATTCAACAAAAATTTTGAAGATCTAAAGAAAATCGGCCCCATTTTTCTCAACCCGAGACATTCCATAAGTCCAACTATAAAAAAATAAAAACCCGTCTTAAAAATCCAAAAATAAATTTATGAGAATAGGGGTGAATGTCAACAAATCAAAAAATGCCTTCCCGAAAAACTTCTCTAAATTTTTTTAAATTTTTTAAACAAAAACCTTTTCAGCAGAATTAACAATTTCTCCACTATCAATTTCTCTTTTATTTTTTTAACTCAAAAATTCATTTTCATTTCGTTCTCGAATCTTTATACTCCAACAATATTTTCATCTCTTTCTTGTGTAGCTCTAGAACGACTTCTACTTCTTTTAGGGCCTCCATCCCTTTTTTTTCATCTTTTTTTGAACGTGACTCTTATCTTTCCCTGTCTGAATCTCTAGAATAAAATCTTTAAATTGTTGGCATTTTTCTAAATGTTTCTAAAAATTAATTTAAAAAAAAAACAAATTTAAAAAAGTATAAAGTATGTAAATAGAATCATAACTTTAAAAAAAAAGAAAAAAACTATAAAAAATCATTCTTTTTCAAATAATTTAAAGAAAATATTTTTTAAATTCAACATCAAATAATATTTTATAAAAATAAATTTCTTTTCTTTAATCAAAGCTCTTTTGGAATTTTTGATTTCATTGCCGTCTTCTGCACCACATTCTAAATTTTAAGAATAAAAATTTGAAACATTTTATGTCTTATTAAATAAAATGTTTCAAACCCCCCCCCCCCCCATGATTTTTTGATATTCTAAGACATATATTCTGGTTCGGGATACTACCTTTTCAAAATCTGAGTTCAAATTCGTAATCAGCATACTTTTTACCCTAGAAACATCCTTTTTCTTATTTTTAAAATTTTTTTCCGCAGGGACCCCAATTCTCCAGGATTGCCATTAATTTTGAATAAACGCCAAAAAACTCTGACAAAACAACCTTATGTGCAATTCTATAGTAAAGCATAATTGGCGTCATATGCTGTAAAGAAAAAATTTTTTAAAAACTATATGTTTAATATTTTTAACAAATAAAATTAAATTGGGATTGAAATTTTTGTATTGAATTTTTTTATTTTATTTGAAAAATATTTAAAATTTACATCATCAAATTTCATAACATTTTCCAAATCCATTTTTGTGCAAATATGATCATTGAATTCATACCAAAATGAAAATTTGCCCAATTTATTCATTTTTTTTGTTCTAGATATTACGTGTCCACTTTCAGCTGTTCCCATGTGGATCTTTAAAAACCAAAATTATTTTTAAAAAATTTTTAAATATTATTTTTCTATTGATACTCTCCGGTTATCTCCCCACGTTTTCCTTTTTTCCCCTTCTTTCTCTTTTACCAAATGGTAAAAATTACACCTAAAATTATTTGACTGCCATTTTATTTCTGATCAATTTTTAATCTTTAGAGAAAGAAAAGGAGAAGAAAAGTAAATTTAAGGATATACACTAAGACTATCCTATATTAAATATAAATAAATTTATTGAATTTAAGATAATATTATCCACATACCACAATTGAGTACAATTCGTAAAGGGTATCATTAACAACAGTCTCATTGTGTAAATAATTTTTCATCTCTAATTGAAATGGAAATTTAACAGGTCGTCTGTCGTAATGCTTCACATTTTCAACAACACTTAATAAATATAATTTTTAATCTAGTTATTTTAAAGTACCTAATTCTATTCAATAAAAAAATGATTATATTTGGTGTTCTCCAATAATACAGATTTTTTTGTAATTCATTGGAACAATTATCGCATTTCTCCCCACCATCAACCGTTCTTACAAGCATTTTATTTAAACATTCTTCTAAATTCATTTCATTATTTTGATATAATTGTACAGGTAGGACTTTCTATTAAAAATAGATATTATAAATGGATTAATAATGGAAATATTTTTGTTTTTAAAGGTTAAAATTAAATGAAACCCCAATCCGAGATCTAAATGTAGTTATCAGGGATGTCACAGGTTATACGAAATCCCGACTTCTGAAATTCGAAACTGGGATGGGAATCTAGATTGTTTGTTGATTAATGGAAATATTTTTTTGAAAGGTTAAAATTAAAAACTAACAACATTTTGAAATACAATATAAGATAATTTGCAACGTATACAAAAATATTTAGCAATAAAAACTTGGTCGAAAAGTTCGTCGATGATTGATGAGGAATGTAAATTATATTGATTAATATAAGAATCTGCACATTGTTTGACTGTTGTAAAATTTGTATAAATTGTTGCAATTGGTGCTGGGTAAGTAACCTTAAATTATAATAAATTGTTTAATTTTATCTATATTTTAAAACAGTAAATTTAAAAAATCATACTCTATTTATATCCAGGGATAATTTTTTAAGAAAATCATTTTGGAACTTGAATGCGTCATCGCATGTCATCCCGTCATACCTCTCATGA